TTCACAGATTCAATGATCAATTTGAAATTACAGAATAACTCTCTTTTAAGAGTAGATATACACTTTTATGATCTTAATGAACTCTTTTAGAATAATGCAAATGAATTTGGCCAAGATGTTTTTGTATATGACTTTTTCATAATAGAGTTCGTAAACTTCTTCTGAAAAATTATAGGTATTTATAGAAAATTATTTCTTGGGTTGTGTCTTTTCATGAAGAGTTGTAACTCTTTATAATTTTTCAGAAAAAATACTCTGGTAATCGATTACAAGACTTGGTAATCGATTACAACGGTTTATAAGTTCAAAATGTTTGAAAAGTTGTATCATTTAAATTCAAATTTTTGAAGTTTCATCTTCTGGTAATCGATTACAAGGTCTGGTAATCGATTACCAGAACACATTTTGTATTCAGAATATGAACTTTGAAGTTTTCTTGTTCTGGTAATGGATTACCATAACATATTTTTGCATTGTTTGAAAATCTTTTATGTAAAAGACTTCATATCAATAATTTCTTTCACAAATCTCTTTTAAGAAATGATTTGAACTATTCTTTAAAGCTTTTGTTAAGTCTTTTGAAAACATTTTTACTTACTTTCAAAAGATTTAAAACTTGCTTAAATTTAAAGAGATTAATTTGAGATTTTTGAAAACTTATTCTCAAGGCCAAGCATACTTGCAATTCTAAAAGATTCTTTTACATTCTTAGCTAAGTTGACAAGACTTATCTATGTAACGCTTAAGATCTTGTTCTTGCATCAACTTGCTTTAGCTCAACCTTGTTCATGGAGTTAGCATCAATCAAGACTCCATCACTTGATGTATCCACGGCCTCCTAAGGAGACAATTGTAAGCGAGAGCGATGTCCATTACTTGGAATTCCACGTTGAAGATGGTAGGTCCCACTTGAATGGGTAGGATGAATTCTCCCATTACTTTCCTTCGAGATCCGTCGAAAGCTCAAACGATCATGTTGCTTAGTTGCATCTGAGCTTCCTTGACCATTATCTTGTCGAAGGTACTCTTAGGCAACACGTTCAGCGAGGACCCGTTATCTACCAAGACTTTGGCAATGAGAAAATCCTTACACTTTATGGATATATGTAAGGGTTTATTGTGGTCCAGTCGACCATTGGGTTTCTCGTTTTCGATGAAGGTTAAATGATTGTTAGTCGTGATGTGACTTACGATCCCATCAAACTTGTCTTGGGATATATGCCACATAGGCTTCGTTCAAAACTATCAACAAAGTCTTTCGATGTGGTTTAAAGCTCATGATCAATGAAAGCAAAGTGATATTTGCTGGGGTATGGTTAAGCTGATCAATGATGGAATATTCACTTTGTCGAATGAACTTGAGGAATTCATCTTCCTTGTCGAACTCTGTTCTTCCTTCCTCTTTGTCCTTTCCTTTTGGGGATTTATCTCCTAAGTCCTTAGGGGTATAAATGCGTCCACTTCTAGTCATTCCTCCGATCCGGTAATATTCGATGACTCTAATGACAAAAAGCTTTGCACGTCATAGATCCATGGCACTACCTTGTCACTTTCATAGGGGAAAGGACTCGGCACCCGGATGGTATGCTTGGGCACATTTTTCCCCTCGTTTCCTCGAGTACTTGCTGTCTTCTCATGTAGCGTTTCCTGACATGATGTTTCGGGTTTGCATTTGACGATAAGCAATTTCATTATCTAACTAACATGCACATATTAGATTTCTTTTTTTATTCCGTATAATCTTATCAGAAAGGCGTATGTTCTAAATGAAATGCAGTTTAGGATGCAAAAGTTAATCGAGGAATTCAACAAACATCATTCTCATTGATTTGTTTGTTTAGTGAACATTCTTCATGCAATGTTTTTCAGTATGTTTTGACGAAATTGTAAGAGTCTGAAGAAACTCAAGCTAGGCTGGCACATAGGTAAGCTATCTTCTGCCTCCAAGACATGTCTCTTCATTACCTCTACTTGTTTGTGGACTGCCCTACTCATATTATCGCAGGCGGACCATGCTTCCTTGGCCTTCTCCTGATAGTATCCATTCATCATTTTCATCTCATAGACTGCTTCTAGATCTTGATCTCTTTGATGGGTGATTTCTCTAAGCAGCTTGAACCCCCTTTCTTCTTTTTGTTGAAAATCGAAAATGGTTGTGGCTTGCTCTTACATGATCTCCCACCGAGATTGAGCCTTGGTCTGGGCCTTGAACAACTCTCTCTGTGCTTGTTCTCTTGCCAGTGTCCATTCCTGGAGTTTGGCTTCGAGTTGTGCAACACTTGGCGAAGCTTCCGAGAGCGGTCTGCCTAAGTTGATCCTTGGAGTTTTCGCCAGCTAGATATTTTTATCGGTGCGTTCATCCTTTAGCCTATCAATCTCCATGTCCTTTTTCTTGCATTTCCTTTGCAGGCCATCAATGCACATTTTGGATTCCTCATCCCTTTCTTCAAGAGCTTTTATTTGGGTTTCCAGAATTTCTACCTTTTTGGTCAAGGAATAAATTTGGCGCTGTTCGCTTTGGTCTACCGTCCTGGTTGTATCCGTGGCTTCTTTGGTTTATCCATTTTCGATAGTCGCCCGAGGAGGTTACTTGAGGCTTGCCGAAGTGGCTTATTCCAAGCCTCTTTTATGACATCAATCTGGGGCTACTGCCCTGAGGTGTAGAGGAAGCAAATTCCTCTGCAATCTTCTTGGCTTGGTAGAGTCTGCATCCTTCCAAGTTGCCTTAGTACCAACTTTGCGGAATAGGCTATACATCCTCTTAATCCCATTAAAGGTAGGTTATAGAATTTGCCACATCGTATTAACACGTGACTCGGCCGAAACCAAGAACACATCCATGTGAGGGTGTCTTCGGTACAGTTCTCCATTTCGGCTTTCCATGCCATGGCGTACTTCCTTGATGTGGGAATTCTATGGAAACTCCTCAATGGATCAGGTAGCTTCCCCATATGATTCTTGGCAAAGAAATGAGTATATGCCCACATGTAAAGGAGTGGATTGCAACATCTCATCTGTTTTTCTGATTTCTAGTGACAGAAGTCGACTACGATCAGGGTATCAGCGAGGATGAAAAGTACAGGACTATTCGAGTGAGTGTCCCACGCAAAGAAGGAGTCGATTGCAACATGCTCTATCATCTTCTCATGAAAGGGGGAGAGGATTATTCCAAACAAGATTAAGGCTAAAGTCTTGTTGAAAGTCATCTAGTTCCCTTGGCGAATCAGAAAGGAGAGATGTTCTTCCAAAATGGAAAGCTTCCATCCTTTGATGGCCCCATTGCCTTCCAAAAAAGACAGGTGGGGGGGGGGGGTAGTCCAATCAATTTAGCTACCTTATCGGAGGATATACATCTTTCTTGGACAAAGAAGACACCTCCTAACTTGGGCCACTTAATCATTAGGTCATATTTTTCAAGGGTGGCCACTATATCAAAATGTGCAAAACAGAAGCAACCAAACTCTAGCTCCCAGAAGTGTATCAAAGCTCTCATGAAGGCAAGGTCCACGAATACTTTCATCAAGTCGAGAATTCTGCCATAGCGTCTTTCGAATTTTGCTTTGGCTTCTTTTGGCATCAAGGCACATAAATCATTTACTCTTGGCATTGCGAAACTTGGAATGTTCACTTTTCTCAACGGTTCATGCATGCTATTGTCATGGATTCTTGAAGGTTCAAACAACTCAAAAATGATGAAGGAAAGGAATAGTGAGCCACTTCCTTATAGGAAGATAAGCAAGAAGGAGGTTCTTGCCACGAGAAAGAGTCCTTGATAAGAAAACTTAAAGAAATTTCTTCTTTAGATAGAACTAATAAGAGACTTTGGTAGAGAAAAAATCTAAATTTTCCTCATAAAATGCTCAAAGTGACATGATTACCAAAGGGAACACATATAAGACTTAGTAGCTTGTGGTACAAACTTAAAAATAACAATGTAAAAAGCTCATTTATTTTTAATTTTTATTGGTAGATTTCCTTTTTCTTTTTCTTTTTCTTTTCTTTGGTCGACTTAATACTTTGTATTCTTGTATTACGAATTGTATTTTATTTTGATGAAATTCTTGTATTGAATTTGTTTTATTACAAAAGACATTTACGGGCACTATTTGATTTGTACTACCATTTATGAGCAAGTGTTTCTTTATTTTAAAAGTAACGAGTTACTGACCCGGAGAACGACAATCTAGTCAATATTCCTCATCGTTATTTATAATCTAATCACTAATTTAAAAGTTAACAAATTCATAAAACTATATATGATTTGCTGCCGTGCTACGTTTAATGAATTTTATCAATCAACTGCATCTTTTGTTGTAATTGGAACATACTTCTGAACATGAGTCATTTATTCAGCATAGATCACAAGTATCTTTTTATGACATCTTTTACTTCACATACTAATATTCATAAATATTAATGAAGCAAATAGAAGTAGTCTCAACAAAAACTTTGATTGAAAAAGAAAAGCCTCACAAAACACTTTTAAGGATAGAAGATTTACATTTGTTGAAAGCATGAAATGAATACTAAAGAAAAAAAATAAAATAAAACTACCAAATGAAAAATCCATGAAAACCATTATAAATCCACAGATCTAACGGAAAACCTAAACATGAGTCATGGTCTCAAATGAACATAAAATCCTAATCTGTGGACCCCAAATCACATCTTTTCAGAGTTTCACCTATAAATACGTCAAGACCTAAGCCTCAACACCTACATCATCACTATCCTGATGATCCTCTTGTAAAACATATCATAAAGAGAAACAAAACAAATAGGGGAGTAAAAAATATCTTTCTATAACTATTGGTGTGAGATATAGCTGAATAGTCACACACAAACAATAATATAACATAAGCACACACATGGTAATGTTATTAAACAGCATAAGCATTTTATACGGAAAACTCAAATGCTTTTGTTGGTCACCAGGATAAACTTAAAATGGTAACAACATAGAAAAAGTTTCACATGAGCAGATGGTAGTGCTGAGATAATAAATGAAATGACTGGCTAGTTGGAAGACCAGGAAACTTGTATTCACAAAACCTTCAATTGGCTTTTGCCAATAAAAATGATTTCTATCCCAATTATCTAAAGTAAAAATACATTCGCTAATCTAGTGAAACAAAAAGGAACTGTTCCTCTACACATAAGAAGGTAAAACAAGACAAGGGGGAAAGTACAAAGGAAAAGAGAGACGACCCTGTACAAAAATACCTCTATACTCGTCTCTTTTCAAAAAAGTAAAACGGGGGGGTCAACCTTCTAAGAACAGTGTCATGTTAATATACAAGATTTGCAAAACAAGAACAAGATAAGCAATGATGCCTGCCAATATAACTTGGGTTAGTACTTCAACAGGACCTGTGCAGAAACAACGAATATCTGTTTCCATATTCCCCAGTCCCCACGAATAACCAGCTTCATCTGCACAAAAGCCCGAGGTATAAATAAATAAGGTTTTTCATATTTTTTGTATTCTACCAAGAAATTGAACAAGTGCACCTCGTAAAAGAATAAGTAAAGGACCAGATACACATATACATATCAATCTGAAGCACGATTATCATGAAACTTTGCAACTTAGGCAACACTTGATAAGACTACCATTCACCGGATATTATTCAAGCGCAAATTAAAAGGGATAAAACCTCAATATAAATGTTAGCCAAGACAAGTTGTTTACTTAGATATATATAGTGCAATTTCTATAAATATGAACATCTATCATTAATCAATTAAAAAATACATTTCTGTTAAGATATGCATTCATATAACAATAAAACCATTAACATGCCTTCACTTAACAGTTTGTTTTTGAGAGTTAGCTTGTGACATGATATCAGAGCCTCCTTAAGCAAGTGGTCAGGAGTTATTGGCTTTCAAGGCCCTCCTAGGTGATAAAGCAAAGGTTGCAGGCAGATCATTCCCACAAGTTGAGACTTTTGTTGGGATTTGGCAAAAAGAGGGTCTCATGGGTTTCTTATGGCCAATGTCCATACCGAAAGTCAGAACAAAAGTTTCAAGTCAACTGCAGTGTTAAATGGTTTGCAGTATGATTTAGCACAGCATATATACAATGTGGTAAGTAGTATAAGACTTTTCTAGGTATGTGAAATGAACAGGTATACTCTATAGGTTTGTTATTTTAGATTGAAATTCGCTTAACATTGGATTGCTAAGCATTCTTTACTTGGCAAAAATTAACATAATATAAAGCAATATAGTTATTGTGCTTGTACTAATACAATAGGCCTAGGCTAGGCCAACGGCCTGAACAGTAGCCTTTTAAGTAAAGCTCTGTTTTGCTAGGTGCAAATTGGCGGCATGGAGAAAACCCTAAAATCTTTTCCTTCCCCATTCGAGAGACATCCATTTTGCTGTGTGGCCCTATCTCCTCTTCCATTCTTGACCCCTGATTGCAGGGGCTGCATGTCGAAGCTGCACTGCCACCACCAACCTGCGTCACCAACAGAAGCCTCCATAGTGGCATGGTTCTCTGTTGTGATGCTACATTCTACTCTTCACATTTGCAGGAAAATCTTGAGATGGGAGACAGTACTAAGCTTCATGATGGTGCTTAGGTTTAAAGCTAAGGAAGGATTGGGGTTGGGAGAATTGGGCCAATGTGCCCAACATTTTCAGTGTTTTTTCTTCTACTTTTAGTCTGTTAGGTCTCTATATTTCGTGTTAAGTTTAGCTTCTCTTTTTAACTGTTTTTTAAATAAGCATAGCATATAATGTAATAAAAAATAACACAATATAAATAATAATAATAATAATAATTTATAACAATTAATAAAGACAATGTTATTTTGGTATCTACATCTTTTGGACATTTAGCCCCATCTAATACACACAACTACCCATTATTACAAACTTAACTGCACACTCTCATTTCATCATCTCTTTAATTACTATTATTTTTTATTTTTTAAAACAGAGAGGTGTTGAGTGCCTCATTTTTCCTAGTAAATATAATAAATTATGTAAAACATAACATATAATATAATACACTAAGATTGATATGTTACATTTGGCTTTAGCTTTATATGGTTTAAGGTTTTATGCACCTTGTTTCCTTGACTTTCTATTTTATGTTTAGTACAAGTATTATGAATTTTTATTATTGAAAATGATTAATGCATGATATTTTAGTTATTTGGGGTCGACCACTATCCCACATTTCTGTTATCTGCTATCCCACTTTTGGGATCGATACCTCAGCTCCACACTACACTTACGAGATTGACAACTGTGGAAGGAAAGAGATAAGAAGGATAGTCAAATAACAATAATTTCAGGACAAAAGCTTTCATCAAATGTTAACACCAGTTTATAGACCCCTGTATGATGGACGTGTGTTTCATATGCCTGTGGTGAAGAAATCACATAAACCTGCCCTATCCCCAAGAGTCAAACAAACAAATTAAAAATGTAATTCAATGCTATATTTGCACATATACAAGCCAAAACAGTAATATATATAAATATATATATATATATACACACACACACACACATAAATATATAAATACCTGTACACTGCTGTCATAAAGGCATAGAGACTCCAATCCTGACAGAACAAGCACACTTGGCTGCTCCATTCGTTAGAATGCATCATTCAGCTTTAGAATTAGGTGTCTGGATACACAAACTACTCTGCCCTGATTGTAGATGTTGCATATGTTGCTGAGATTGATGTTGTAAAGCAAGATCTTTGGGAGAATGTTGTTCTTGCTCCTGTTGCTGCTGCTCAGAATGATATGTCTGCTGAGATAGGATGGGTTGTGGTAACTGTTTGAGAGGTTGAGTCTGACGTTGCTGCCACTGAGTATCAGAATTATGTGCATGAGCAGTCAAGCCAACTGATCTTGGCCCCAACCCTGGACTAATTGCTGGTTGCTCATTTCCAGTGAAATTTCCAACAGGTACACTCCCCAAGGAGCTCACTTGAGAGGTTTGTTTGTTCATGGTGGAATCAAATGATGGTTCTGATGTTTTCCACTGAGAAGAAACAGTAGTAACACCTGGTACCACACTAACAGAATCCATACAGTCCTGAGTCATTGTAGCAGATGCATTAACCTGGGAACCACTGTTTGTAGGCTGTTGATCAGCTTGAGTTAGATCAGACTGAGACTTGCTTGATGACTCAGAATGCACAAGATGGTTCTGAGGCAATTTTCTCTCAACATTTGTTGAAGTTTGATTAATTTTCTTAGACTGAGTCTGTGGCTGCAGCTGATGGTGGTTAGAAGAAATAACACCTGGCTGTGGGGGTGGCAACAACTGACCCGATGAAATTGGTGAAACCTGTCCTTGGGCAGTATCAGAAGGAATGTGAAGTTGCTTTGATGAAGTGGTGGGTGACCCAGAATGTAGCTTCTGCTGCAACTGTGAATGATTTGAAGAATGAGCATGACCCAAAGGCTTTGGAGGTTGATTTGGGTTTAAACCAGATCCGGGATATAAATTTTGACCTTGCATCATGTGCATGATTTGGTCCCCTTTTTCACCAGTTTGGCTTCCTGCAGGTAGAGAGAGTCCACTTAGATGAGAAGTATCCACAGATAGATTTTGATGGACCAATATATTTCCTCTTCCCATTCCCTTCAGAAGTTTTGCCTGCTGTTGAGAATGTACATTATGGCGTTGGTTAGGATGTTGCCTTCCAGGATGTTGATACTGCTGCTGTGGCTGTGGCTGTGGCATATGTCGTGGGCGCTGCTTTGGTGCTTGATTAGGCAACCCACTAGCAGTGGGATTCCTGCTGAATCCCGGTTGTGTCTGGTGG